AACCCGGGTTGTCACTCACCCACCCACCCCCACAGCCTGATCAGATCAGTGACGCTCAAACAGGACCCAGAGGTGACGAGAGGTGGGTTTGAGGGTGAATTTTATTGAAAACAAGGAGTGAATTTAATGGGTACAGATGTTCTCAAAAATACCATGGCTGGAGGGGTTTCTGATGCAGGTCAAAATCCTCACCCACTTTAAAGCCAAGCTGGGTCCCCCCAGAGCTGTTGATCCCCCCCTACTATGGCAGAGGGGACAAAGTCCAATGGGACGAGGGACAGTGAGACCCAGGTCCAGTGAAGCAGAGCAGGTGGCACCCAGAGGTGTTGTCTCTGCCACTTCAGCAAAGCCTTGGATCAACCACAGTCCCAAGCCCAGCCCAGAGGCATCTCCCCGGTGTTGGAAAGGGCAGATGCTCCCTTTCCCCAAAATACAGGAATCGGGACTTTCTCCAGGACAAAAAAAAAAGGGGGGAAAAAAAAAATCACCATTCCTCAAAGCACCAAAAAATGGGTGAGATAAAAGAAGGGGAAAGGAGTGGAAACAAGGAAAGAAGGGAAAAAACAAAAGCTCAACATCGAAACAGAAATCAATCCAAAGTAACCAACTATGGGGGAAAAAAAATATACAATTGTACATCTGGGCTGCCGAGTTGTCACACCGAGCGGGTGGGGGTGCGGGTGCTCCCCGAGAGCGTCGGGGGGTGGTTTGCAGAGTGGGATCGAGGAAGGAGATGTGGAGAACATCCATCACACTCTTATTTTACACAAAGAGACTCAGGTCAACCCAAAGTTGAAGAGAGTTTCTCCAGCTCAGCCTGGGCTGGTTCTCTCGGGGTTTGTCGACTCGGGGAAGGGGATCAGAGCGGTGACGGGGGGGGGAAAGCGCTGCTGCACGATGTCCCAGCATGAAGGACTGAAAACCATTTGCCCTGAAGCAGTTTCCGCCAGGAGCAGGTCGCAGGAATAGATGGTGTTGAGCAGCTCTGGAGCTGCTCTGTTCCCAGGCAGAGTGTCCTCAGCACCACTTCCAACCCTGGGCTGCAGAAGTGGGGAGTAATGAATTTAGGGGGACATCATTCTTCATTGGGTGGGAGACCCTGAACGCTGGAAATGCACCCTGAAATCCAGACCTCCAGGGCATGAATTTCAGGAAAAATGTTTTTCAAAGATTCAATTAAAAAATAGATGCTTTTTTTTAAAAAAAAAGCCTTAGGCCCAGGTGTCTTCTAGTGACCCCTTCCCCACCACCCCAAATTTAGCCAGAAAACTTCTAGCCGTTTCCCCAAATCTGCTGGCCACAGACATTCACACATTCATCATTGATTTAAAAATATATAATATATATATATATATATTGAGCACACACGTACACACACACAAATATATACTAGAAAAGAAAAAAAACCCTCTGAAAACTCAATCTATTATAAAAAAACAACCCAACAAAATCCACCGCTGGTGCGTTTATCCCGTGATCACACACAGTAGCAGACAGAAACCCCTTTAGCTCCCGGAACTCCTTGCAGAGTGCTCAGGCTGGGAGAGCGGGGAAACACATCAGGTTTTCACAGTGGATTTGTTAGTGGAGAAGGAACTGCTCCTCCCTCCTCCCACACAGAAGGGCTTTAATTTATAGCAAGTTAGATTAAAACTAGGAAAACATGTTACAAAGTCCATTATATATAGATATAAAATGTACAACTGTCGGCAGCCCCCGTGCCAGTCGTCGGGGTTTTGATCTCGGCTGACATCTCGGCAGGCAGCTGGAGGGTTCCAAGGCAGTTTGGGACGTGAGAGGTGTGAGTGTGGCCTCCAAAACGAGCAGGTGTCACAGTGCAAGGCCTTACGGGAGCTCCAGGTTGGGAGATGGAGCAACATCTTCTCCAGAAGTTGGGGAAGGCAGAGACAGGTGCTGGGAAAGGCGTTAAGACACCTGGAGAAGAGATGGATCCTGCCAGCCCAGGGCTGGAGGGAAGAGAGGCAGCGCCCAAGGACCTGTTTGTCCCCTCATGTCACCTTGTGCTCGTGTGGGGAAGGGAGAACTGTGCGCTGGATGAAGTCCCACAGGGAGAGCACGGGTTGCAGCTTGTGTCAAGGTGGGCTCACCAAAAAAATGCCTTTTTCCCCCCTCTGCAAAGGGAGCAGCATATTGATTGAGGGAGGGGGATGCCTGGTCTGGTGCTGCCTCAAAGGGTCATTAAGATGTCGATCCAGGCATTAAAACAGCCTCAGGTGTGAACAGCAGTGTGACCAGGGAGCCCCACAGCCCCCTAAAAAGCTGTGTAGACTCCTGGGGGGCAGAGAGCCTGGCACAAAGAGAAGGTCAGGGAGACCTGACGCCAGGGAAGGGGCTTTGGGCAGGCAGGGGAGATGAGTGGGACAAGTGCAGCAGCATTTTTTTCTCTTTGCCTTCCTCAGGCAGCAAAGAAACACAAAACCCCCGTGCTGTGCACCAGGCTGCTGGGGAGGGGAGATGTCGTCTGGCACCCTCTGCCCTGGCCCCGCTCAGGCGTCACGGGCATGGTGCTCTCCCCAGGAGGGATACGCTGGTGTCAGCAGGGAACTCCTGAGCCTTCCATTTCCGTGGCTTAGTTGGCAAAGTGCTGGCTTCAAAAATCTCATCCTGGGGGATTTTGTTTTCAGGGCAAAGAGAAAAGATATTGTGAGGCCAGATGGGGCCAGAGATGCCCGTGGGCTGGGGAAGCGCAATTTGTGCAAACCACCGTGAAGTCCTCATTCGCTCTTCTGCGGGGAAGCCAGGATGGAGGGGACTGCACGAAGCCGTAAAGTTTGAGTTAGGAGTCTTCCCCGAGGATCTCTGTCACGAAGGAGGCCATGTCAGTCTCTTTGGTGTCGTGCAAGGTAAAGAAAGGGTGTTCCTGCCAACAAGACCAAAGACAACGTCAGCCAACACCCAAGGACAGACAAACCCAAGAGCAGTCCCTGGGGGATGTCACACAGCTGGCAAGGTGCTGGGGGAGAGGTGGACACCAACCTCCTCCCCAGGCTCCCATGGACACCATCCTTTAGCTTAAAGATTTAACTAACACTTCCAGGTTTGGTGTTTCTAAGGTTCAAGCCCAGCAGGACAGCCCACGCTGGCAGCTGTACTGCCATCATTTGAGGTCTAAACTCACCAAGAGCAGATAGGACCTAGAAACCCTGACCTTAACATTCATGAAATCAACACACCCTTCTACCTTAAGACACACTACACTCATCCCACTCCATGCCTGAAAAATCACCCATATGTCCTGTTGTCCCATCTTCCTAGGACCTGCTGGACCATTCATTTGACTTTTCAAACACGTTGCGATAAAGACCAGCAGAAACACTTCTCACTTACCATAAGTTCTAAATAGTTCATTCGCTCAGCAGGGTTCTTCCTCAAGCTGGAAGACAAAAAATGGGAGAGAAAGGTTGTAGGATCTTCTTTTTTTTTGCTGTATGTGGTCTATCACAAGGGATCTCCCCTTGACAACCAACATGACATCTTTCTCATTGGCAGCACCCATTTCTCTCCCTCCTTGGCCAAGCAGGTTTGAACCACCAGTAAAGCTGCCAAGCAGGTAACTGGGAAAGGCCAACTCATGGTGTTTTGTCACAAAAAGCACAAGCCAAGCAGTTTGCTGCAGTCTGCCCTGCACAGTCTTGCTCGTCCGCACAGACCAGAATAAACAGGGAGGAGAGGAGATGGTTTCCCACCATCTATAGGGTGGGGAGATCATCTCGAGGGTCGTTCAAGCCTTGTCCCATTGGGCTCACCCCTGTCTGGCAGCTGCAAACAGCACACAGGGAGCAGAGGGACACCCCGAGGGGAGCAGCGATTGTATGTAGCACCCACAAAACCACAAATCAGCTTTCACCCAGAGGCACCCAGACGCTGCCAGGGGTTTGTTCTCATTTCATTGCTGCTTTTCCAGAAACCACCAAAATTTCAGCAGCAACGATGGCAAAAGGGGAAGAGAAACCTCTGCGCCTTCCAATCAGTCTGGGTGACTCAAGCTGAGAGCAAAACCAGTTTGGGCAGCACTTCCTGCTGTGGCCAAGCTCCATCCTCAGTACAGCAAGGTGGGGAGAAACGGGCTCCAAAAGGACAACAAACCCAGCCCCATACTTTGCTCCAACCCCCACAGATCAAGGCTCCTCTTCAGCCAGGCTGGGAGAAACCACCATTCCCTGCTTGAGACTCACCACTGCGCCGTGAAGTCCACAAACTCCTTGGAGAAGCGATCGGTGGGCAGCTGGGGTGAAGGCTCCTCCACCACTTGCTTGAGCTGTTGGAAGGGGGTCCCCCAGGACTCGTACGGGAAGCGAAGAATGGCCAGTTCGATCTGAGGATGGAGACAGGGTGACATGAGACACCAGGACGAGCACAACCCCACACAGCCTGCCCACCTCAGCCTCTACAGCCAGCTCAGATTCAAAATGAAAAACCTCTTTCCTCACAAACCATTTTCAATTTGGGTCATACCACTTTTTTCTTTTTCTTTTCTTTTCTCTTTTTTTTTTTTAATACAAAGACCCAGAGGCCAAAAATACTTCCTTTTGAGGCTGGCTCAGCATATTAATGCATTTACAGGAAGCCACCAAAGATGTGTAAAATGGGATTATTTAAAAAGATAATAATACCAGCGTGTCGTTTCTGCACCAGCTTCCAAAGTGCTCTGCTCTCCAAAAGCCAGCCTCTGGGCTTCAGACTAGTACTATATAAGCTAGACACAAAAAAAGTCCACAAACCCAAGAAAAACTAAGTGCTAGAACACCACTTAGGAAGATCTTTGCCAAACCACCTCCATTACTTGGTCCTTCCTACAAGTCACCTCTGCTCTGTCACTCATTCAAGAAGGAAAAAGCCCGTAAGCTCTTAGGCAGTCACCTCATGCCAAGGGTCAGCTCCCATCTCCAGAGAGGCAGCAGAACCTCCAGACCTGCCTGGCAGGGTGGGATGGGATGGGAGGAATGAAAAAAAAACCAGAAAGGATGGAGGGCAGAGCCAGGGACTCCGACATGCCTCTGGCTCAGGCCTGGGAAACTCGGCTCCTGCTGCTGGAAAAAAGGATGAAGCCACCAGCCCAGAAAGGCCAGGATTAGCCCTGCAACTCAATGGCCCTAAAACCAGTCTGAAATCAATCAAACCCCTTTAGAAATAAAAGATAAATAAATAAAAAAAAATAAATTAAATTAAATTAAAAACCAGGGAGCCAGCCCAGGACGAAGACATTAGAGGGAGTCTGACAGGTTGGGGCTCCACTCAGCTGCAGGCTGGCAGGTTTTCAGCAAGGTCCCCTCTCCCATCAAGCTTTGGAAAGGTTGAGAGATTCCATTATTCACACAATCTCCCATCCCACAGCTTCCTGCATCTCAGGAGGAAAGCCGGAGCTGATTACATTTCCAGCCAGCCAGCCCAGCTTTGCTCTGCACTGGCATGGGGACACCAAGGACAGGGGCTTGGGTCTGGCACTGGGGACAGAACTAGCCAGGGAAGAGGGAATATTTGCCAAGAGATCTGTGCAGCGCACACAAACGCAGGGATGCAGGACCCAAAACAAATCACAGCTAACAGGGTACAGGAAAAATTCCTGAAAATAATCTACCCACAGAGAGACAAGTCTCCTGGAAAGCGAGACACGTTTCCAGGCGGCATCCCCTTCGAGCCAACAGCTGGGATTTCCTTTGTCCTCTGGCGCCAGAAGATTTCAGCTGCTTTCTGCAAGATCCGTTTCTTGCAGGAGGTAGATAAACCATCCTGTAGCAGCTGCGATTTTAGAACTGAAAGTATTTCCCCTTCCTGTTGGCTGCTGTGAGCTACCCTGCAGGCAGGACTTGCTGCAAACCATGCACAGCATCCCTCGCTGCAGCAGGGCAGGCTAACTCACCCCGGTCCTCCTGAGAGGCTTTGCAGTGAGAAGGGTTCCTGCAGGAAGGTTGTGACCCAGCTGCAGCAAACCCCGCTCCATTGACTCCCTCTCCAGCCAGCGCATGGGGAACTGCAGAACAATTAAAACCCAGACTCTTGAATGCCCAACTAAGCTCCCTGTCATCCAGATATTGCCCCCTGGGAGTCTGCCATCCACATCAGCATAGTTCAGAGCTAAGTGGAGCTATTTGGAGCTGGCATCGTACACAAGTAGCTCTGTGAAACCAGGCAGAGGGGTACAAGGGAATTACATGGGGATAAAAGGCCTTTATGCATCCCCCAGGATCCAGAAAAATGCAAGAAAGGAGAGGAGGAAAGAGAAGGGGTAGAAGATGGATTATCTCCTGGCAAGCTTGCCAGCCAACTCGGCAAGAGCCACAGCAGTGGTGGCAATGCTGCCTGCACGCCCCGGCTCACAGCTACCTTGCCCCGGGGTGAGGTACTCGTGGGTACACAGGACAGCACCAACACCCTGTGCCCTGGGTAATTCATCTCATGCCATTTGCTATCATGCTCAGAATTTAGCCCTGTTTGGTGGGCATCTACCCAGGGATGAAGCCACCAGATACCACCACTCACGGCAGGGTTGGAACCCCACCAGTACAGCCCCCATCCCAACCCCAGGGCTGCAGGGTGTCAATCCAAGCACTCAGTGTTACCATTGTGATCCCCAGACTCCAGACATCCGACTTCACGTTGTAGCCCTTCTGGTTCAGCTCAGGGTTTATTCTTTCTGGCTGTAACAGCAAAATGGAAGATATTACAACTCCTATCTCGTTTTCCCAGTGCACACCCCACAGAGCAAATCTCTGGCTCAAAACCCAGGCTGGGAGGATTCCCCTGGCTCATATCCCCCTGGAGGTAGGGTCTGAGGTTAAATCTAGCACTGATTGTTCCACACAACCCACATAAACTCTCCCCTCCAGCTCCTGAGTGAGACTTGTACTATGCCTGCAGCACGATCTCTACCCCAGGAGCACAAGCTACCCACACAGATGCCACAGATGGCAAAGGGAAATTCATACTGACTTGAGAGGATGAAATTAAATGATCCTGCCAAGAAAAGCCTCAGCATTTTCTAGCCAACAAGGAGCAGCCCTTCCAACCACCACAACCAGCACCAGCCAGTCTTTTACCCTTCTGAAAATGGAAGGTGGCAGAGGGAGAGTCTGCTGTGGGATTAACACACACAGCAGGGCTTACAGGGAGGGTAATCCCGTCCTTGGAGGACTCTGCTGAGTCAGGAAGCCCAGAACACTCTGAAGTGGTTTCTATCTCAGGACAGAGATGAACCAAGACTGATTTCTAAGCAGCAGCCTCTTTGAATCAAAGCTGAAGGCAGCTGAAGGCTGCCAGCTCCAGCCCGACACGAGGACACTTACAGCCATGTACGGTTTGCAGCCGGCATCCATGGTCTTCGCAACCGAGTCCACCAAGTAGCCGCTGATTCCAAAGTCACACATTTTTACGTGTCCTTCCTTGTTGATCAGCACATTGGAAGGTTTCACGTCTAAAAGAGAGAAAACAAGAGGGCAGATTGAGCTTTTGCAGAGGTATTGCAGAGCCTGAGACAAGATGGGCAACTCCCTGCCAACCTGGGAGGGGAGCAGGCAAGCCCTAACGCAAGGGGAGGGAGACAAAACCCCACCAGTCTTTGATTTCAATAAAACTTGTTCACAAGTAAAACTACATCCAAGCAGAACAGGACTCCTCTCTATCGAGGCAGGTCAAAAGGTTGAAATAAAATGTTGAGGAGTTAATGCCCAGCTCCTTAGGAGATTTATGTGCCCAACACAGCCTTAAAAGCCCAGCCTTAAAAGGACAGATTGTCTCATGCCCATCGTGATGTGTCCATAACTACACGAGGAACTATACCAGGATGAAGAGCAGGACCTGAATGTTACAATTCCCATCTGTGATTTTATAAGGTCTCCTTCAGCCCTCACCTTGCTAGAACAACCCAGGCAGGAAGGCTTGGGAATTTTTGTCCTCAAGAGCTGCCTTCAATGCATCTCTGTACTCAGAGAGTTAAAGATGCCCATAAAAATACAGATAGTAAGGAATTCAGTTATATTCAACCATTCATCTGGTTGAAGGAAGAGAACAACATCGTGCAAGCAGATGCATGAGGGATACATCTCAGGAACAAGCCTTGGGCATCCAGGTCTGTCCACCATGGTCTAAAGTACCATTAGATCCCACTGTAGGCATCTCAGAGGGACACACCACACAACTCCTGGAACAAAGTCCTCAAATAACTTATTTCAAGGCTAGATCTCCAGCCACATCATGCTAACCCCCATCCAGCACCTACCTCTATGGATTACAGACAGTTTACTGTGCAGATGCTCCAGAGCTCGTACAATCTGGGGACAAAGAGAGGAAAGGAGTACCCGTTAAGTCACATACAGCACCAGCCTTCTACTGCAAACACACCACCCGTATCCACGTGCCATGGGCATGAACAGAGGCCTCCAACGGGCTCAGGGGATGCACAAAACCACATAAGAACTCAAGAGGCACTCACGGACACGGCCATTTTCCCCAAAATGTCTTCAGGGATGGTTTTCTTCTTCTCCAGTACTTTCTTGTAGAATTTATCTAGGGAGGTGTCCATGAGCTCCATGCAGATCCACACATCGCCCTGCAGACAGGGAGAGAAAGCAGTTGAGAGGGAATTCCCTGGAAATCTCCAGGAGCTGAAGGGAGCAGTGGGGATGGATAGACAAATGGATGCTGCCCCTTCCACACAGGGCAAGCCAAGGTCCGTGCTGTGCAGCTGCTGTTGGCCACAGCACCAGCACACCAGGCTCTCCACTGGACAGCGATGGGCACAGATGTCCAGGTAACCCCAAAACTACCTGCGATAGCCTCGTTTTGAGGGTCTACCCCAAAGTCAGTCCAGGCCATGGACAACACACTTGGGCACCTGCCATGGAAGTGATGAACAGGACCTGGTCAACGCTGCCTGAAGGAGGCAAGCCTTTGACTTGAAATCATGGCAGCATCTCAAACAGCCCAGCTGGGCTGAAGAAAGCAGAGGTGGTTTGGGACAATTTAGTGCCTTCAGCACAATCACAGGGGCCCCAGGTGCCGCACAGCCCAGCAGCCATCCACCAGCTCAGTACCTCACGGAAGAGGGCTCCATAGAAGGTGACGGTGTAGAAGCAGTCAACTGTCCTCATGGAGATGTCCAAGTCCATCAATAACCTCTTCTGCTCCTGAGTGTTCACAGTTGCTCGAATCCTCTGAGATAAACATGAAAGAAGAGGGGTTTGATGTAGGTGGGATAACACCACTATCCCTCAGGCTGGCTCGGAGAACCCATGGTTCTGAAGCCATGGCAAGTGTTTTGGGCTTATTATGCAGCCAGCAGCACCCCGGGAGATAAACAGATTCCCTCTTTCAGGCAGCACCTTAATGAGTGACAAACCCTTGGCAAGCTCTTCAGTGGATGCAGGATCAGGCCAGCAGCCTGGACAAGCACTCTGACATCCAGATCTTGCACTATGTGACTGCAGGCACCAAGCCTGGCTTTCAGAGCCTGCTGATCAACCCCACAGTGTCCAGCTGGTATCAGCACAGACCCTCCAACAGCCAAGCCACATTGGGAAACCAAGAAAAGTCTGTCCCCATTTTTCTGCAACCAATGGAGCTCAGCAGAGCCTCTCCCCTCCCTTGGAGCTGCACATCCTGACCTCCATCCCCCTCAGCAAGCAGCTGTCCTCACCTTGACAGCCATGATGGTGCCACTCTGCGCGTGCCGGACTTTCTCCACCACACCATAGGCCCCACGGCCCAGCTCCGAAATTGTCACCAGGTCATCAGCTTCCACCTCGAAGTTCTTTAAGAAGAGAGACCAAAAAAAAAAAAAAAAAAAAAATCAGACACAGGCACACTTATCACCAAGGACATCAGCAGAGGTCCAACACTTGCAGCTTGTTCATGCAGAGCACTTCTGAATGATGGTACCTACAGGACCCCACCACCTCCTACACACACCAGAGGCACCATGCTTAGAGAAGATGAGTATAGTTTTTGCTCTGTTGAACCAGAGCCCAAATCCTCACACCCTGGACCCACCAGGGATCAATTAATTCCCCCTCTGCAGGTAAAGATCATGATTTTCATCCTTTAAACCAGGCCACACTGTCACTGGAAAGGGACAGCAAAGATTGGTGCCTCTCTGCCTGCTTGGGATACCTACACAAGGTTATTTCTGCAGTTGCTGAAGAACTTGCAGGACTTTAAAAGCTCTCGTGTCAACACGGGAGCCTCTGCCACAGCTCCAAATCCCCACATGCAGCCAGGGATTGCACCACACTCCACACCCCAAGAGATCATCAGTGCACTGGGATGGTGCATGCAGCAACCCAGCAACTCAATTCCTAATTATCAGGGAGTTCAGATGAGTTTTACCTGCTTTCAATACTTTCTCCTACCATCAGCAAGCAGCCAGCAGTGTAAAACATGAGTTAGCACCAACAAAGCAGCTCAGGCAAATGCAACTACATAAATCTTACTTCAAGCTGGAAAAAAAACCCCACCACCAGTGCTCAGACAAGCGAGTGCCCAACGCAGCAGGGAGCCAGCGAGCTCCTGCACAACCCACGGACAAGCTTCCCTAAAGACGTGTTACCCTGTAATTGCTGGCTCTGCTGGGCAGGGCACAAACTGCTGGAGTGAGACACAGGCTATTTTTGGATGCTGCATTCATCGTTCCTAATAAGTCACAGGCCTTCTTTTAGCCAGGCTTTATCCAGCCTCCAGTTTTCCTCCGGTCTCAGGGAACAAAAATATAATACCAGGATGCCAAATTGCCCCAGTAGCCACAAAGGCAGCGAGGGTGGGAAACATCCACGGCACAGCACCGGATACCGTGGCTGTGAGCTACGCCCAGAGCAGAGAGGAAACAGCCTTTAGTGTTAAGGAGCCAAGCTGGGAGATGTGGCTGGCGGGGCTGGGCTCCTGGCCAGCAAGCTCCCTTCAGCGCTGGCCACGGCACGGCCAGCAGCAACCAGGTCTGTTGGTCCTTCCTGCCAGCCCTGGCTCCGTTTATTTGAGCCAGATGTGCCTGGCAGGTGGCCGAGGCCGGGAGCAAGAGAGCTCTGAGCTTGAGCTCAGCACTGAGCTATGTGCTGCCCAGCACAGGAAGGTGCCGGCCCTTTCCTGGGCAGGACGATGGATCCAGAAATGAGGAGAACGGGGCAAATGGGGATAACATCCACCCTGCTGCCCCAGCAGCTGGCTGAGGAACAGTGCAGGCTCACAGCTCCTGCACGGGCCTCCAGAAAGGATCTGGTGGTGCTTTTCAGGACACGTGTTCTGCAGTTGTTCCAGGTTATTGTTTTTTTTCTCTTTTTTTTTTTCTTTTTTTTTTTCTTGGCATTTACCCTGAGGCTTCCCCAGAAGCTGGCAGTTCCCAGCACACTCCAGGAACCAGTATTGCCCTGCCCAGTAACAAGAGGCCACGCACTGACAGAGCCAGCATTCCCATCCCCAGCATCGCTCACCCCATGCCCTGGGGGGTCTGAGCTGGTAGCAGGGATGCAGGACAGCACCTGCATGGATTTGATGGACCTGAGGTCATCATCCACCTCATGGCCCAAAGCTGGACTTCTGCCCAAGTCCTCTTCCTCCTTCCCACAGTGTGCCACTCAAAAAATACCTGGACCAGACCCCTCCTGCACGCACTGGTGCAGGCAGAGGAGGGAAGGAGGCAAATCTGGAGAGCTTTCCCCAAGCTACAGCACTCTCCCATTGCACACGTCATGCCCAGGCTGTTACATTTCTTCCCAAGTTATTAATATACAAAGCACAATGGCGAGAAAATGACATAGGCAGTGGGGTTGCTCCCTGGAACCAGCCAAAGTTTCTTCTCCTCTCCCCTCTCCTATGTGTCCCCTCACCCTAAAACTTTGCACCAAGGCTGAGAGGCTCAGATCCCATCAGCCAAGGCACCTCCCAGCCTGGAAGGTAAGCAGCTAGATATAGGGCTGATCCAATGCATGGTATTTTTAGCTCGTTTGCAAACAGCCTTCTACAGCCCCAGGAGAGCCCGTAACAAGAGAATGAAATAAAAGAGAGACAGTGGCTATTTCTAGCAGTGTTTTTCATCAGGTCACTAGGGGAGGCTTTGGAGAGCCAGAGAGAAGCTTTGTGCCCAGCTTCTCCTGGGCCACAGGCAATAACACAGCCCTGTGGGTCAGCAGGACAAAGGGGACTTTGTTTGGGGAAGCCAGAGAGCGTGGTGAGGCCACACTGATTTAGGGCAGATGGGCTGGGTCTGTGCACTCAGACCGAGGTGGCTGGTGGGGCTGTCAAGGGACCACTGTGATCTCCCACTACAGACAAAACTGACACCCACCTGCCTTGCTGGCACTGCCCAGAGGCTCAGAGACAAGCCATCGTGCGGGCAGGGTGACATGTTCAGCTCCTCAACAATCACTGCTCTAAATACACCCAGACATCCCATTGCTCCACAGGGGAAAGGTGCTGCTGTGAGATGTCTCGTCCCTGCAAAGATGCATCCCATGAGGCTGCACCAGGATGGCACTGTCCCTCTCATGGGGTGCTCTGAAATCTCAAGATCTGATTTGACAGGTTGTCAGGCATGATCCATAGAACTCCTCACACAAGGGGCAAACAAAATTGGAAGCAAGTAAAAAAAAATAAACCACATTGCCACGTACTTTATCTCCGATGGTAATGAACGTTCTGGAGTCCAAGTTCCTCGGGGGCCTGCAAGAAAAGAGAGAGAGAATCAGGAGAAAGCCCAGCTTCATTAACCCTCTTGGCCAGAGCCAGGTTTCACGTTCCTTCGAGCACTTTCAGCCACTGCTTTCCACTGTGCCTTGTTGTCGTGGGTTCAAACCAGCCCCCTCCAAACAATCACAAATGCTTTAATCCTGCCAGTAACACCTCAGCCCACACCCACGAGGTACTCGCTGCACGCAGCCAGCGAGAATCCCAGAGAGTCAGCTAGATGAGACATCCATCAAACCAACAGGCTACGAAACCATCCCTGCTCAGGAACCCGAGGAACCGAGACCGATGGGATGAGACGTTTCTGTGGCAGAGCAGCTCAGCCGTCATGTTTTGACAGGCAGGTGTTGTAACAGGACAGCCACGTAGCCCAGCACGCATGCCGAGGGAACAACAGGTAATTCCTCACCCGTGAATCATTTGTGTACACTCGCAGGCCTGTTTCAGGCAGCGTGGCAGGCAGAGCAGGCAGCACTTCAGTGTCAGGCTTTGCACAAACACCACGCAGGCGAAAGTCTTCCTTTATGGCTTTTTTTTTTTCCTCATCGCTGCCCACTTCCCATTACAGGCAGCACAGTACTTTTAGAGCTGACACAAGCATTTTGTCCCTCCTGCCTCGCTTCTCTGCTCTCCCCATCCCCTGGGACCTTCTAAGAGTGGAGACTGCCCAACTAGTTCAGCCTCCCAATTCCCATCAGAGCAATACGACAACCTCCAGCTTCAAGGAAGTACTTCAGGTTCACAGCAAAAGCCTTGCACTGAGCAAATATTTGCACTGCAGCTCAAAAAGCACAGAGAAAAGGAGTTGTGGAGACCTTGCACCACCTTTTACATGAGTGCTCCAGCCATGCAAGAGCCCTGCAAACTCCAGCATGATGCCTTCTCCAGGGGAAATTCAAACACCAAAAGGAGCAGAGACAGATCCATCCAAGGGGGAAGGAGGTGGCTGTTGCATGCAGGGCTCAGCGTGTGCATGCTGGGCTGCACAGCACTAATAGGGGAGTTTCCCTGGCTCCCCCTCCGGCAGATCCGCCCCATCTGTCTGGGGTTTTCAGCAGGGATATTTCCCCTTCGGGCATTTCACTGCTCTCCTGGAGCTGGGAAGTTCTCTAGAAAGGGTTTCTGGAGCAAACAAGACTCAGTGGTGAAGACACAGTCCAAAGTGTTTGTAAGAGCAAAATGGAAGAGGAATTTAAGCCGCATGCTCTTTGTCAAACCAAGTGCCACTACTCTGGGCTCTTCCCTGCAGCATAACAAGCATCAGCTGCACAAAACAAACAGGGCAGAGACAAATTCCAATGCCCTGAGATACAGCTGGGCACCGGCCACCAGCACCGAGCGGTGTGTGGTACAGCAATGCAAGACATCCATGTCCTCCTTGCACCAAGGCAGGGAGCTGCAAATAAACTCAAACTAGCCCTGACACACAGGCCAGGGGGAGGACACCCTGCCATGCACACCACCCCCCAACCCTCATCCTCCTGCTCCTGCCATGGTCCAGCTGCCACCACCTCTTCTCTTCTCCTGCATTAAAAATCTTTGCCTCTTCTTCCCTTGGGCAGATTTGCTCTCTCCACCATGTCTTTCCCCTTTGGCATTGGCACAGCCATGGCAAGAAGACTGAAGAACGTCTCCCAGCAGTCTCCCAGCCTTTGCCTTTCTGGGAGGTGCCTGTTTGACTTGAAATGGCTGAGAGACACGCTGTGTACGCGTGTACATGCACATGTGCATTCGTGTGGAATTCCTACTCATCACCCATAAGCCAAAGCTTAAGAGAAAAAATAAACCATCCTGATTCTGTAAAGTCTACGTGGCCCATTTCCCTTGATAAGGGTGTTGAATCCAGCTCTGGAGAACCACCGGCTGGCTTTAAGCAACAGAGACACTTACGTTGTGTTGGCAACGGGCTGTTTGATGGGGACACATGTTATCCTCAGCTCCCGTTTTTTCTTGCTTTTCACTGGAAGAGAAGATGCACAGATGAGCAACTGGTATTTTTACTTTTCTTCCTTCAAGCATCCCCTTCCCCACCCATCAGGTAGGGGAGGCAGTGCCTGCACCCCCTACACTGTGCAGCTACAGCAAGGTGACAAGAGGGTCACAATGCTCACAACCATTTGCTCAAAATTGCAGGCAAGAGCCAGAAGCACAAGTGGATCTCAATGTCCCTGTTGAGCACTTGGCTGCAGGAACACCCAGGGGTGCACTGACAGAGACCATTTTCCAAGTCTTGCAGCCAAGCACCACCTTGTAGTGCTCCTCAGACACCCCAAAAATGCTCTTTACCCTTCATGGCCATTAACAGTCTCCTCTCTTTGGGGATTTTAATCGCTGATGTTCAGGAGATATCTTAAAGCTGAGATTTCTGTTGGGTGCTTACCTGGTTTGTGAGGCTCCAAGGATCCTTTGGAATCTAAAAGGGAGAAAGGAGACACCAGCTCAGCCTTCATGCTCCAGACAAGCCAGGTACCATCCCCTACATCCCTCATGGTCCAGCACACAGCCCAAGGAGAGCAATCCCAGGCAGAAGGGCTGCTGGAGCCCAGTCCAGCCCGATCCCAGTTTCTCCAGCCACAAGAGGTCCCCACGCCATTAGCGATGCTCCTGAAAACGCTCCGTGTCCAGCTTCTCCTTGGCCCACAGCCCCTCGACCCCCACCCAGACCCGTTCTGCAGCGTGGGTCAGATCTGGTACGGAGGGCAACGGCCACCAGACCTCATGCAAAACTAAGGATTCACTCCCAGAAAGAGAGAGGTCACCTCCCACCCAACAAAGGGAAACCAGGGCAAAACCAGACACGAGCTGATGGTAAAAGCCAGTAGTGAACCAACCTCAAACCCTTGCAGAGGCTGAGACCCCACCAGACAAGACACAACCCATCAGGAGTGACTGGTGAGAGGATGCTCTCTTCCCACTCCTCCCCAAGATAACATGACCCACTGCTGTGGAGAGAAGCAGGGTTCATGCAGCTCCAGGGCAGGCCAGACACTTGCAGATGAAACTAGAGGGACAAGAGATAACCAGCACGGGGGGACAGTGGGCATCAGCGGGGAGAGGAGACCCACACAGGGCTGACAATCAGCTCCCTGCAGTGCCACGGAGCCCAGGCTGCTCACCAAAGCCCAAGTTGTTCCTTCATCAGCAAACAGTTCACCCACCTACCCCAGCTCACTGGGAAAATACAGACCGTGAGGTGCTGGGATGAGGGCTGAAGGGATGCAGCTGAGAGCACCAAAGTCCTGATTCCCCCCAAGAGGGACAAGGGGGCAGCTTGTGCTTTGCAGCTAAAAGTGCTTCTGGCTGCACAGACCTGGAAGATGCATTGAAAAGCACAAACAGCAAAGTGTGCTCCAGGCACAGGGCTGGGAGCTGGCAGCTCCATGTGGCCTTGGACAGCCCTTCGAAACAGCTCCTACCTGCCTGGCTCCCTGGAACAGGAGTGTGGACAAAGTCCAGCACTCTGAAGGCTGTCAGGGAAGGGAGGGGAGAGGTGAGGAGCT